AAGCATGCATAAATACTAAGATTAAACACTAAACCAAGCTGGTATTCCCCATAAAGATGGGAAAACATGAAAACAAGGGGTATGAAGCTCACCTTAGGGTTTTTTTGGTTTGTAGAAAGAAAGAGTTGGAGGATTTTCGAGTCCTAGCTTGTGCCTTGAAGAGACCTTCGAAGTGAGAGATCTTCTAAGACTATATACATGTAAAAGGAGTTGTAAGGAGGACAATCTTAGCATAGAATTGAAATAGAACATCTAGAGATGAATATGGGCTTACCAAAATGCTTAAAACTTGATCTTTGTTGATGATAAATCTCGAAAATGCTTGGAGGAAGAATGGGGACTAGAGAGAGTAATGAGATAATAATAGAAGTTTGAAGTGAAAATGGAGAGGTAATGGTGGTGGTTTGGCCAATTATGAGGGAGAAAGAGAGAGGAGATTAGCATTGTTACATGTTGGTTAATACACCAACCTAGATGCATGCAATATAGTTACATTGTTACATGGTGTATATTATTGAGGTGGCATGCTTAGGTTAATTCTCCCTTTTTTTATGTTTTATAAATGGGCCAACCGATTAGCCGAGGTATTCGACCCAAGGTTGGCCCAAAAGAAATTTCGGCCCACTAATGTTCTAGGTAAGTTTTTAGCCCAATTAAGGGGTTTTCGGCCCAAATAGAGCCCAAATATGGGTTTTTCGGCCCCATAAAAATCAATAAAGAACTTTTGGCCCAATAGGGGGCCAATAGTGGTTTCCGGCCTTACAAGGCTCATTAGAGTGGCCTAATGGATGGTCTAGTAGATATTTTTGACTTATTAGGACCTAAAAGGTGGTTTTTCGGCCCAAAGGAAAGTCTATTTGAAGTTTCGGCCCATTAGGGCCCAAAGAGGAGTCTTGGTCCAAAAGAGATTTGGGCCGAGAGTGATTGGGCCTAGGCCCAAAATTGATTGGACTTGGCTTATTGGATTGAGTTTTGGTTTTGTATGAAGTTGTTTCAGCTGGAATCACCTTGCATAAATGTAGGCACTTAATAGTATTGAAGTTCGATTCTTACTAAATGAAACAATGCGAGGTTACACAAAGGAAGTTATCTCTCACAAGGAGCAATATCTTAACCCTAATTTGCTCGTTGTGACAAAGAACGCATCACTATGTTCTCAGAAACCTTTCTTCTAGACTGATGAGCATCCAATCACGAACCTACCCCTATTCCCTGACTGGAGACACTAACAAAACACACAGAAAGGATACTCAAGCCATATCAATCGCAAACTTCATATCCAAATCCATAAGATGTATCAAAATCTTACACAACCCTAACTTCCTATCATGTCGTTACTAACCACCACTCCTACGAGAAAATATGATCAATCCAAGAATTTTTACCTTGCATCTAACCACCATAAGCTCAAGTGTACCCCCACCTAGAAAATCACTCGAGACATTCACAAATAACTTTATGATTCGAGACTTCATACCGATTCCCAACCTTGATAATCAAGCCCCTAATAGCAGCTTGTAAACAAACGTGATTTATAACACATACATCCCTTTACTGTTCCCTTTATCCAAACTAACTGATTTTTGTGAGTCTCCTAACTCCCATCAACGCGCCACTATTGAAAGTACCACAAGCAGGAGAAATGAGCAATCATGATTACTGGGCCTATAGCCCATAAAAACCCCTCTCGACAACATATCATGAATTTGCGACAACGCACATCCTTAGGAAACCCATAACTTCAACCGAACATGGAAGAAATACAAGATTTCTATCGAAACGACAAACCTGAATCATTAGCAGAAGACGTCCCCATGAACGATCAGAACAAGACCCATACATAGAATTTCCTTATGTCAAATCTTTTCAACATAACATTCATATATATTTTTTTGACTAAACTTGATTAAAATCTCAATCTATGGTTTTAGTATTAAAATGAAGTATGAATTCCTTTCCCTTAATTATAGCAAAACAACTTTTCAAACCCTACAACTTTGTGATTTGAAACTTTAGTTTTCTATAACTAACATTGCTAACTTGCAACACTTAACGTAAGAATTGTGCTCCCACTAGCACAATAATTACATTCTTATTAGGTTGTGTTTGGTGCGAACAACTAGCTTATTTTTCAAACTTTTTTATGTTGTTGTGTTTGGTAAGCCAAAAAGTAGCTTATAAGCTGGCTTTTTGAAAAGCTACTTAGACTAGCTTTTTAGGAGTTTTTTTTTTTTTTTTTTTTTTTTTTTTTTTTTTTTTTTTTTTAATTTCCAAATACATCCCTTAATTAATTATAGAAACACAGACTCTCACTTGTCCTTTTATGTAATTTTATATATTTCAGCTAGTTTTACCAAACGTCATTTTTTATCAGCTAGTTTTTCAGCTTCAGCTAGCTTTTTATTTAACAGCTAGCTTTTCAGCTATCAGCCAACTTTTCAGTTAACAACTAGCTTTTCAGCTAGTACACCAAACATAGCCTTAGCATAACACTTATGCTCCCACTAGCTTTGAGATGTATCCAAAAACCAGCTGGACTTCTTGAAATTAATACTTATTGACTTTCATTACCAAAGTTCATATTTCTGATACGAGATGCTTCCACTAGCACAATAACTACATTCTTATTAGCATAACACTTATTCGCCTACTAGCTTTGACATACATCTTTCCTTAGATAGCTCATATGTGTGTCTACACAATTTTAGAGCTTACAACAATAAGTCTCAAATGTTTAGACCCTTTCCATTTCTCACAATTCGAAATACGAAGAGGGATGTCGTAATCATAATCGAATTTGAGAATGCAAGTACCACAATTGCTATCTCCTTAGAATCTACTTAGTGAAAGCGTTTCCTCACAATCATTTTCATGAAACGGAGAGAAACCTTATGACACTTAGATTTTATTGTGTATGTGTTCCTATCCATGTGAATTTGTCAAACCATAATCATAAGACAAGGTTTGTGACATATCAAAACTCATATAGACAGAACTTGTTCAATTGTAACTTCCTACCACTTTATAGCACAAGGGCCTACCATGTCTTCCAAGTTGTTAAGCAGCTCATCCATATTGATCAATGAAACTTTCATTGATCCAAGTGGTTTGCCTTATGCAAACTGTTAGGAATAAAATTCTCTTAGATCGATTAGATTCTGACAAGTAAATAAATAGCACAATAGGAAAACAAGAACACAAGATGTATCAACTGGTGTCAAATGATTAAAAGACACAACCTCAGAAGAACTCTATGAAGAATTGCTACTGTAGAGGCGTGCTAGGGTTACAAGAAAAGATCAATCAACAGTTAACCACTACGATGCATGCATTCACTATAAATACTATAACCCTAAAAGTAAATACGGTTGCACAGGCCCAAACCGAGTACATAATGGACATATACAAAATAACCCAAAGACGCAGTTCAATATCACCAACAATCTCCCCCTTTGCGTCAATTAAGGCGAGAGATGCTTCACTGTTGTGACTTCTTCATTGTCTTGAAGATCTTGGGAATCACAACAAGCAAAGTCCTGTGAAACAGGATGTACCAGCGAGTCATATCATTAAAATGCCTCTTCGTAGCATCATCATTCAAGTTGCACTTGTTGATAATCTTCAAAAGATGTTCCAGACAAGTCGTGGAAAGCAGATGCTTGTCAGGTAAGGCAAAAAGACATTTCTGTAAAGTTCTAGCAACTTCAGTCCCTCGCTGAAACATGACAGTTAAGTGAATCGTGTCAATTTTTCCCAAACTCATTTCGCTCATATCGATGGCTTTGCTGATTGGATTAACAGTAGGCTTTCGCTTCATAACCTTGGTAATTTTAATATCGAGTTTTTCCACTTCATAGATGTACGAAACCAACATTCTCTTTAGATGAGCAATGATAGGTTCGTATTTTTGCCCTTCGGTTAGTAGAAGTTTAAGCAGTAAAATCTAGTCATGAGGATTGAGATTCGGCAGATCCACGGGTGAAAATTCATGTAGGGAATTTTCTGAACCCCTCGTCACTTTGACTTTGACGTTCCCAAAAGCGCTAGTAGCAATGGGTCCTATGACTTTGATTGTTGTGATTTTTTGGGCACTCCAGGTTAAGTATTGCCGTTTACCAAAAGCAAGATAAAAATCAATGAGGGCTTTATCTACTTTGGTATCTGGAGAGGGAACTTCGGCTATTGTATGAAAATTGTGAAAGACAAAGGCTCCTCTTGTAATCAACATATCAAACTAGGAGTCCTTCATGTTATCCAGATCAAAAGAAGCAACCGGTTCCAACCAGTGCCCACTAGGAAGATCAACAACTTCGTGCATCAGCCGCTCCAACGTCCACAGAGGAAACAACAGTTTTCTACATTCCAATGTGTAATGAGCTTCTTTCTCCCTTTGCTCTCTCTCTCTCTCTCTCTCTCTCTCTCTCTTCAGCTTCCCTCACCATGCGAGCGTTTTCATTCAGTTCTAGATTACGAGCCTTTCTTTTTAACTGGTCTTCTTCAGATTCATCCATTGGTTTCTTTCCTTTATCAGTCTTGGTTTTCAACCCTGCATTAGCATTTTTACCATCTCCCCTTGTTTTTGGAGGGACATGCACCTCTGGAACACCCTCTAGCCTGTTCAACAGAGTGATAGCAGGGCAAAGCTTATCAGCAAGGTGTTGTCTAATGGTGATTGTGAAGATTGGGTCATGAGCTTCGAGGAGGTTGGATAACAACGAGTTGACATCACTCACACGTCTTTTCATAACTTTCCACTCAAATTTGAGTTCGTCTATCTCCTTTTTTGCGTGCTTGAGCTTAACTGGTTGAGTCTTTAGTTGAGTGGTGCGAAGTGCAAGTTCATCCATAACTTTGCTTTCAACAGCTAAATCTTCTTGAAATTCAGAAAGGCTTGAAGACATAGATATCTGAAAAGTAGAGTTGTCAGAAAAATTTCGACCCGAAGCGTCTCAATAGACTCTCATTCTTTACGAAGCGAAGCATTGAGGTTGATGATTGCATCATTCGCATTTGAAGCATTTGTCGCTCTCTGTGATGAAAGCTTTCGTGTTAGAGATTAGTTTATCAACTTTTTCGGTCACTTGTAGACAAGATTGAGAAGAATCTTCAACTGCTTTGTTGGCTTTATCAAGATTGGAAGCATGTTCCTTAACCAAAGTGTTAATCATACCCTTTACAGCAGCATCAAAGTAAGCTTGGCTAGAAGAAGCAGTGGAAGAAGTAAGGATAATATCTAGTTTCACGTTTAAGGCATTCAAATCTTTCTGAGTGATAGGGGCAATGAAAGGTGTCAAAATCAAATCTTGCAGCTCTAAGAAAGTCCTCTTATCCATGACGTTGAGGATAAACGAGAGTTGTAGTGGAAGTGGAAACACCTGATATCTTTGCCCCCGCATTAGATGCGTTGACATCAACATTAGGTCCGACTGTATTGGTGGTAGTAGTGGATTCAGAAAAAATTGGGTTTTGATGTAAAGTAGAAGTGGGTGGTTGGGTAGAAACTGGAGGTGGATATGGAGCGATGGTAACATTAGTAGTATGAGTAGGAGAAGGAATTGGAGAGGGAATTTTAACATCAAGATTTACCTCTTTGTTCAGTGATGGTGGAGGCGAATGACCGTGGAGCGAATCATCAGTTTGGGAGTCTTCACTGTCACTTTTATTGACAACCTCCTTATCAAAAGGAATGTAATTACAGTCGCTTGGAGAAGAAGGAGGGGGCATTGCCATCTTCTTAAGCTTTCGCTTCTTGGGAGCTGAAGGGTCAGCACCTGTACCCTTTCGCTTCTTAGGAGTAAGGGATTGAGAAGATGGACCTTCTTTTCCCTTTTTCGCTTTATCTCCCTTTTTACCTCATTTCTTTAGAGTATCAGCTTCGTCTAATGGCTTTTGCATTTCAGGAGTTATCGCTCTAGGACTCGAAACTGGTTTCATCTTGTAGGACTTCAAAATTTTACTAGCCCCAGACACACTTCGATACATCGACTCAGGAGTGGATCCGATGAAGGATAATTTAGAGTTATCTGCAATAATGATATTCTTCGTGTGGAATGTGGTGATCGAAGCCATCAAAGAATTTTCCATTATTTGAACATCAAGCTTTTGAAGAGACCTATGCACCACCAAGGTCCAAAAACGACTACAAGAAATTTCGATGTGTTGAGAAGATGAATTCATGCTCTGCAGTAACTGATCCCATAGCACCGAGCCATAATCAATATTAACCCAATGGTATAGACCATAAAGAATTGTCATAAACAATTTGATGGCACAGTCCAACAGAACAACTCTCTCTGAAAAAGCTTTGAAAAGTAAAGTGAACAAACCATTCCATTGTGGTGGGAGAGAGGATTTCTTGAATTTGGTAATTATGGTGAGAACTTCAGTATACCCCAAGTGATAGAACATCTCGAAGATTTGAGCAATGGAGATGGACTCTGGGTTTATCATGGAGTCATCGTAGGTCAGCCCTAGAAGAGAGCAGAATCGATCCTTTATAATCGAAGTTTTCTTATCTAAGATCTTGAAGATGATCTTTTCCTCATCATTCAGATAGATTGTAGATGTATAAGCCACTGACAACAATGACATTGGATTTGACTCAACCTTGTTCAGGGCGGTAACAAGCGGTGGGTATTTGAGACATTTTGTGGCACCTGGTTCTTGGTGCTTATTCTTTTAATTAATATTTTACATTTTGGCCTTCGACTCGGCGAGTTGAGGGACCAACTCGTTGAGTAGAAGCGGGATGAGGCGCGGGGTTTAAGCAATGGACTCGACGAGTCGGGTCCCGGACTCAGCGAGTAGGCCCTATCTGGACAAAAACCCTAACCCGGGGTTCGCACCCTATTTAAACACCTTAACTCGTCCTCTTTCGTCCTATTTTCTCCCAGAAGAGCACCATAGCAAACCCTAGCCGTTCTTGAAGCAATCTAAGGCATTTGGAGTGATTTTGGTGCTTTTGTGACCCAAGGAAGGAAGGAAAAGCTTGAAGAATCAAGAGGAGGCTAGAAGGATCTGATTTTAAGCATCATTTACCGTATTCAGAAGGTATAAGGTCTATACCTTGTTAGTTCTTTTGTTAGATCCCATTTTGTGGAGTTTTAGGGCTTTTCTAAGCCATTTTGGTCACCAACCATGATTGCAAGCATGGTTAGGGGTTGATGTTTCAGATCTAGGCCCTTAGAGGGGTTACAAGGCAGAAACGAGTGGCTCTTGCACTCAAAGAAGGCCCCATGCATTGTAAGAGATTACTTTAGGACCTTTTGAGCTCAAATTCCCATGCAAGCACGTAAAGGTTGTAACTTTACGTGATAGATCGATTGTAGAAGCATAGATCTATCTATTGATCAAGGGTTGTACATCAAAAATCGAAGATTTAGTGAGAGGATGTGACCAACTCAACGAGTCCATTCTTGGACTCGGCAAGTCCAAGGTTTCTGTCCCATATCAGTTGATGGTCATAAGGACCCAGTTGAGTGTGGAAAGGTTTTAGGTGGGGTCCCGGGGAGTAACCCAACGTTCTGGACTAAGCCATTGTTCTAGACGTTCATGGGACTCGGTGAGTGCATGAGCAGACTCGGCGAGTCCAAGGAAAACTTCTTAAGGATGAAGACGAACTCGACGAGTTGTTCATACAACTTGGCGAGTCAAGGACAGGACCTGTGTATCAGTTAAAGATGAACTCGACGAGTTGTTGATACAACTCGGCGAGTTGGATGAGGTTTCAGTCGATGTTCATTTTGAAGGAAAACTCGTCGAGTCATCGCTTAACTCGACGAGTAGAGGCGGGTATAAGGACGAATGGAAGGATAGGGACTCGGCAAGTTGGCGAGCCAACTCGGTGAGTCAGGTCAACTAGAAGTTGACTTTGAATTTGATTTGGTCAGGGGTAAAATGGTCATTTTACCCTAAGAACAGGTAGCAGTGTATGACTAAGTGTTTTGTGGGAATTATAACCGGAGGATTTCCGGAGCAGCAGCGGCAGCAGTCAGAGGATTCCCGCACAGATCAGCAGCTACTACGAAGTGAGTTACCTTCCAGTAGCGGTGGGTCTACGGCCACAATGTCAGCCCACGAGTAGGAGTTGTATGATTAGATGATTGTCTTTCTGATATCATCTAGGTTTGCTACTACCTGGTATGTCATATGACGACATGATATGTTATATATGATAGTAGTAGAGTTCGGTTGTTAGGACCGAAGGGTAGGTCAGACACCCCAGATATGACTGAGAATATGTGTTGATATGTTTATATGCTGGCATGATATGTTATATGTGATAGCGGTAGTAGGAGGGGAATAGTCCCCGTGTTCGGTTGTTAGGACCGAAGGGTAGTTTGGAAACCGCATATATGTGTGATAGTATGCTTATGTTATGATATATGTGATAGTAGCAGTAAAGGGTGGAATTGTCCCTGAGGTTCGGTTGTTAGGACCAACGGAAAGGTCAGCACCCCATAATAGCTTGACATGGGTAGTACGGCACCCCAGAATGGCCGCATGGGTAGGTCGGCACCCCAAAATGGTCGTACTGGGTAGGTCGGGCACCCCAGAATTCCCCGACAGTATGTGTACTATGTGATTGTATGAAATGTGGTACGATGGGGGAACTCACTATGCTTCGTGCTTACAGTTTATAGTTCTGGTTTAAGGTACCTCTTCAACGAAGGGGAAGGAGCTGGCGCGGTAGCGACACATCATACACACACTCTTTGTTTTCCGCATTATGAGTTATTCTAGGATTTGTACTCTGATATTATTATGTTTTAACGATTTGATTTTTTGATACGAGACATGTTTTTATTTAATGATATGATCGGATGATATTTTGTTACAAATGTTTTGCAAATAACTTAATCAAAAATGAAATTTTTGGACATGAAAATTGGGTCGTTACACATTCCACTATGGTTACCAAGTAGGAATCGTATTTGAACGGTTCTAAATCCAAGACATGATTTTGATTTGGTTTGATAGTGAGGAAAAAGGGTTGAGTGGTTTGTTCTTGAATAGATGAAGAATCGGCCATTGTTGCAAGAGTTTGGAGAAGATGAACAATTGGAGAGTAATCTCCTTTTGAGTGCTGGAGAGTTTTTGTGAGTGGTAAAGAAGAATAAGGGTTGCATGAAAACGCTTTATACGATTACCCAAGAGAGAGAAAAGTCGTGATCACGATTGCGTGATCTACTCTGAAACGGCGCCTGAAAAAGCGCAATTGGCAACTATTCATCCGAAAAAGTTGTTAGACGGCGTGATGATAGGGACATTTCAAATTTCACGCGCCTTTTGGTTTGAATTCTTATCCCGAACTTTTGTCGTGTCAGCATTAACTTGCTCCCAACATTTCAATTCCGAATCTTCACAATAGGTCACTATATCCTCTTTTGCTTGAATAAAACTTATTGAAGCGATCATCAATATATCTGTGAAACTAAAAATGCCATAAATGCCACGAACGAGACTTTTGAAAATCAAGAGATTTTCGTGCAAGAGTGTGCCAAAGAAAAAGAAAGAAAACAAGTTATATATGTGGGATTTAAGTGATGTCATTAGAGACACGAAACTGTGGATCCCGAGCACGAATCGCTACCTTCAAAGTCAAGAGAGACTAAGAAGTGCTTGTGTGGTTTCCCGTTGAAGTACGATCAATTCTTTGTTAAGAAACATTGAAAGACATCTTTTAATTCCGGCTGTAAGGGTGGCTTTTGCTTCAACCAAACTACGAAAGTTAACATAAGTTCGAAAATTAGGTGAAGTACTTGTGTGGCCAGTGTAGCCTAAAACATTAAGTAGGTTGGGATATTTGGCAGGAACGCTGGATATAATAGAAATCTCAAAAACAAAACGAAACTGGATCTTTCAGGAAGAAACATCTTGGTAATAGAACACTTCATAAAGATCTCGCAAAAATAAAAGAGATTTCATGGTACAAACCATAAAAATGGTATTCATTAATTCATGGGTGGAATGATAGAACTTTCAATGGTTCACCGTCAATTCATTACGGTGTTGGATTTTGGGTCTCACTTAGCATGTGGTGAAACGAAACTAAGATCATCAACACAGATGTTGTGTAACCATAAACCTCAGTGGTAAATGTTGAGAGTCTCAAGGGTTACAATGATGAAAACGAATTTAATGGAAAATTTGTGAGGTGGTTCCAAAAAAAGCGAATGAACCTCTACTGCATTAGAGTGATTAAGCAGATAACTCTTAACTAATTGTGAGAAGAGTAAGGTAGCTCAAGAATAATGTGAATTTAGTAGCCTTAATTGGGAAGAAAAGAATGGTAGATTCGATTCATTAAGGCTTCACATAGAGTTGAGTGAGGCTTCGAACGACATACAACGGCATGCTTCTAGGGACACTTAGCTAATACAAAGATAATGAAGTTTATACCTGCCTCGTCAAGCGAATTAGAGTAACTCTGGATATGTGTCATTGTGAGTTTTGCTATTATCTATTTATGACATTTTTAATTTTTGAAAAAGAAATAAAACTAAACACAAAGGAAAATATTTTTGTTATTTTTATCTTGCTGAAAAAGAATTAAAAAAACATAAAGAAAACTAAAATATTTTTGGATTTGGTGCTTTTGAAAAAAGAAATAAAAACAGAAATTTAGGGTATGCTTAAATAAAATAGTATACATAATGTACAAAAAGGATACAGGAATTCCAAACCAACAAGAAAGTTGATTAGACAACCGAGCGTTCGCTTACAGAGAA